CAGACAACGGACAAATTTTGATCAGAAAAGCTCACTCGAGCCTTCGGCTCAGGTGAGCTAAAAATCAATCTAACATTCTGACAGTGACATAAAAAATTTATAAATGGCAGATACGTGTACATGTATCATATTTACAACAACTATTTAAACACAACCAAGAATATACTTAAGTAGTCGTCTATTCTATTTAACAACACACAACCTGAGGAAAAGAAAAAATAATAATAATATACATGTAAATAAGGGGTATTATGGCATAGATTGTGACAAGATTGGATGACTGGTACATGTATCATACTGAGCTTTCATGTATCTATAAGATTTTTAGCAACTGTTCAAGAAGCTCTTTCATCTGAGATTCCTTCGATGTTTGTTCTTCAACGTTTTGGGTCCGCGGTTTTTTTGTAGTTGATGATTATTTTGGTGGAATCGTTCTTTAGTGTATTGGTAATGTTGCCATTCATGGTTCGCTTGCCATTGGTTAATGTGGTGATGTTGTTTTCTCTGTTGATAATGACTTTGACTATTTTGGTGATGTTCTCCTTTGTGGTACAGATTATTTTGCGATTCAGGCCTTTGGTATTGGCTGTATGGCTTCATACCCAAATGTGGATTAAGGGGGTTGTTTTATCATGACGACCAGATCTTTTCTTCCTACATTACTAAAATGCACTCCATCCCTTGTGTAGTTTTGAGGGTTTTCCGGTGATATTTTGTTCATTTTGATGAAGTTTACACCATTTTCCTCGCATGATTCCCTTAGTTTCCTGTTGGTCTCTGCAAATTTTTGGTTGTATGGACTGTCTCCGCATCTTTCAAATATGGGCAAAATGTGAAAGACACAATTTTTTGGATTTTTCATGATCATTTCTTTAAATCTGCGTGAGACTTCTTCTGGGTTTTCATTCGACAGGTCATTACATCCAACTCCTATGACCAAGTGTTTGGGAGATGTTATATTCTGAATGTGTTCCATTGCTCCCTTAATGTTCTTTTTCCCTGCTCCTAGAACCGTTATCCTTAAATCTTTGTTCTTGTACATCCATTTTGGGTCTAACCATATTCCATGGGAGTCCATGATGATTTCGATGGGCAGATCTTGTTTGTTTAATGGTGTTTCACATGGTAAATCTGACCTTATTTGGTGCATTGCATCTGATTCTTCAACATCAGGTGAGAGGGCTTCATATCTGTTGGCAGTTGGAATTAGACATTTAACACTTGTACTGGTATTCTCTTCCAACATCACATTCACTTCTGAATCATTGAATTTCTCTTCAATTTTCTTTTCCTTCCGTGGCTCTTTTTTGATATTTTCTTCCTCGGCTTCTTTGAACCTGTTCATTTCTTTTCTGAGTTCCTTGATTTAATCTTCCTTTCTCTTCATTTCTGCCAGTAAATGGTTTACTTTACTTTCTAATTCTTTATTTCTTGATTGTAATACACTTTGATTTACTTCCTTCTCTTGGTTCTTTCTCAGAATGGTTTCTTCTAATTTGTTTATTTTTTCTATAAGATTGTTATTCGACGCATCAATCTTTTTGTCGAGGGTGCTAAACCTTGAACAAAAATGAGATTCTATGCTTTGTAAGTGATTTGGTGAGTGATTTGGTAAGCATGAAGTATTTGGTGAGACAATTCTCGGAGTAGAAAATGCTTTCTCGTTATTACAAATAAATGATTGAAACTGGTCATACTCGGCGGACACATCAAGTAAGTTTTTTTTATTTTCGTCTCAGAGTTGTCTTGTATGGACATATTTTCCACAACAGATTTTTAGTGTGGAAATTCGTCATCTACCCAATGGAGGTAGCTGTTTCCCTGCACGGTGATCAAGTGGGTAGAAAAATATGCATTGATAGTGATGATTTTTTTTTCCATCTCTTCGCCTTTTATGTCAACAGATGACAATCTAACCATGACTTCATCTTTTAATTCATCACTTCCCTCCTTCAAAGGATCAGTCCACTCACATTTGAATTCTTTTCTTTTGCCAAATTGGTAGGGATATCTGTAAGCTAAACATTTTAGCAAGTTCATTAAACGGTTTTTGTCGTGTATCCTGAAGGACACCATTTTTGCGTTTAGTTTCTATAGGTTTTTGTCTATACGTTCTAGTTCAGCATGAGCTGCTTTTCCAGTGGGCAATTTTGGCGAATCTGGAAATTGATAGTGTACCGTATTTAGGACGGAGTCCCAATAAAAAGAATTTATGATCACGTCTTGGTCCGCTTTGTTGACTTTACTGAAAACCGCCATTTTTGCTGCCGATATGTACTAATTTTGTTTCGTCGTTTTCTCAATTCTTTTGGCTAATTTGGGCCGTATAGTCAGTTTTTTTTAAAATTTATACGTATATGTTATTCTATCTTCTGCTACATTTTAGATATTGTCACTGTCATCATATCAGTTAATTTTACATTTTTTGGAGTATAATTTACCCACAAATTTTTGGCGTGTTTCTTCTCGGAATTCCGATCCCGATATATCCTTTATTGGCATATTGAAGTTTAGGGAAGTCTTCCGTAAAACGTGCGGGTTTAAAAAGCCTATGACATGCAATATCCATAATAACATATCCGAGTCTATATTCTGGTGTCGAGGAATCAAAAATTGGACTTTCCTTGGCCTTTTCAAGAAGACTACTGTACACGTACTTTTTTCCACGGGGTCATAATTCTATTTTCTCTTGAATCCGCGGGTAGAAAGTTACGCGGATTTTCTAGATTGTTTCTATATGCCTTACATTTATATTAAGTACGCTTGGACAAATTTCCGCGGAAAAGTTTTGACCGCGTACATAGCGTAAATTAATACCACGCGGAAAAAAGTACTTCTACAGTATTTAAAAGTTTCAAAGGGACAGAGTAAAGTTTGATGCGAATATGATGTAGACCCAACTGTTGATTTACATTAGGTAGTAATGAATCAAAAGAGACGTCGTGTATTGCAGGTTTATTGTACGACAGATGCCCATGACCCCGCTTACGTCTCTGTGTATGGTTAAAAAGTCACATTAACATTATTACACTGTGGACTGAAAAGATTTCCAACACTATCGACATTGTCATTACATCCATAGGGAAAGGCTGTCCCTAGTTTTCTAATGCAAAAATCTCGTTGTCTACGGAAAGGTGTACTTAGCGACGGACTATTTGTGTGGTGATAAATCTTTTCGAGAATTCTAACATTCATAGACAAAATTGAATGATCGGGTAAATTAAAATGTTTGTATAAAAGCTGTTGACCACCATGATTTATTTGAAATCGATGACCTGATATTCTTTTGTTAAGCGGTCCCTTGGTTTCACCGACATAAAGAAGTCCACAAAAATTACACTCTGTTCCATAGACAACATTTGAAGATTTGCAGTTCAGATTTTCCCAAGTTTTGATAAAGAAGCTCTGTCCAGTAAGATTACTGTTGAAAGAAGTGTTAGTTATGAAAATGTCACAGGTTTTACAGTTTGGCACAGAACATTTTGAAACAGAAGACATGGGATCGGAAAAGGAATCATAAAATATATATGTTATAGAAAACTTACATTCTTTCAATTTTTTGAATGATGCGTTGGTTTCATACCAAAACTGGGAATCTGAAGACTGCACATATGACATTTGTTTAATATCCCTGAGGATCATCTGAGGGGGCACCAAATGAACTTGAGTCTGTGTCCCTTATAGACTCAAAGGAGTGACGCCTTTATATACCGGGCGACACGCCTGCCAGTATCATTTTTATTCTGTGTACTCATGAATGAATGAGCGGGGGGGGGGGGGGGAGGTACCGAACGAAACAAATAGCTAGCTTTTCTCGTCTCCCTCTATTTCAGGCAAGTTAAGCAAGACTGTCCACCAGCAGAGATACAATGAAACAATTATTCAATCAAAATTAAAAAAAAACACCAAAGAATTCAATAAAGATGTTATAAAATCCTTCATTTATTTCTTTCATGTAACAATATATATAAATATATAAAAAAAAGCTAGCGGTCCCATTCAACAACTATAATACATTGAATATCGTTGTTTCATTGAATATCATTGAATATTGTTGCATATCATTGAATATTTTTTGCATATCATTGAATGTCATTGTATATCATTGAATATCGTTGAATATCATTGTATATCATTGAATATTGCTGTATATCATTGAATATCGTTGTATATCATTGAATATCGTTGTATATCATTGAATATTGCTGCATTTCATTGAACTATCATTGTATATCATTGAATATTGTTGTATATCATTGAATATCGTTGTATATCATCGAATATCGTTGCATATTATTGAATATCGTTGTATATGATTGAACTATCGGTGTTAATCATTGTACCCATTGTATAGCAGATATTCAATATACACTTTGTGTGTACATCATTGTATTGATACCTTGAATACATCATTGTATTGATGATTCACTTTGATTATTTTAAAATCAATATGACAATGACAAATACTGCCGATCATTATTGATCTATTTTGTCGACATAACTCATTATTATACGAGGGTTGACCGAGCTCAATTTATTTTAAAGAAATAAATGTATCTTTATTAAATTTTCAAGGTGGATAAAGCGTGTTCTTGGCAGATAAATTACGAAGTTTTATGATGTTTACTTGAAAACTTTTCGAGTAATAACATAATGAAATATTCTAATTACTGTGATATGATCAAACATTAAAATATGTAAACAAAGTATATGCATGTACAGGCATGAAATGATAATAATTTAAAAACGCTACATTTCTACGGGCATTTCGTCTGTTTTCTCTAAGGGAGTTACACGATGCAACTCTTGCCCATTTCTTAGCCCTGTCTTTTATTTTAGTTACTGTTATTCACATATACATAGAGAAACCGTTTTAATCATTTTAAATACTAACTCAGGATGAGAAAAAGTTTCCTAGTTTACCAAACCGTTATGACTAGTACATTTTTGTAAGAGTGAATTCAGGATCAAAACACTTGATCACATAGTCCAATGCGCCGCTTGTGCCAATGCAGCCGCCATTTTTCAGAAAGTAGGATTTCAACCTCATGTATATAAAACGTTATAAAAATCATATCTATCAAAGCATAAATAACAAAATTTGGGAAAATGTAGTTTAGAGAACAGTATTAAGAATTTTTATTTCCATTGAAATAAATACAGGGAAGTAATTACTTTTCGGTAGGATTTTAAATACAATGTTCCAAATTTTAATTGCAACTCTTGGGTATTGCGCCGCCTACCTACACCAGACAATGAAATGTGTCTTATAAATTGGAATAATTTGTGTAGTTACTCCATATTTGTCCATAAATTTATTAGATAGTGTTGGTTTAATCTATATACGAAGTTTCATTAGTGTATGATATAGGGTTCCTACAAAACAACGCTTGTCTACGAAATTTTGGGACAACCCTCGTACATGTATAAAGCAAGTACATTTTAAACGTCCCAATGAAGTCGATTAAAATGATGCACTCAGAAAGCGTAAGGCTTCTTTTATAGAAGACTCCAAACTATGAAGGCGAGGATCATGATGAGCATGTTGGTGGATCCAAGATTTGACGCTTTGCTGTCTAAAATACAGAAAAAAATGATTAGCATATTATAATTACACCAACATCAATTATCGGATGTCACGAGTAAAGTATGTTAAAGTAATATATATATATATCGTAAAACCATTGATTTTAAGTTTCAATTAGTTTGTATCTTTAAAAATCTTTAATCAAAGTCTTAATCTCTTTGCATAAAGTTTTCGTGTGAAACTTTGAACCATCTTGGTGTGCCCTCATTTAAGCCCAGAGTCCATGATTTGGAAATAATTTAAATATTGCCTTGTAAACGGCTACCCCTACTATGACCCCTTTCGTTCTATTCTCTGTCGGCACCATGGTTAAACAAATTTTAATCTAGAATTCCTTTCCAAATTTATGCATAAATTTTTTTAATTGATATCCCTTATTATAAAAGCAATTGTTTTTGTTCTTCTATGTACGAGACACATATATTATTGTAAAACTTTGTAAATGTTGTATGGTCTGAATTTATTATATACAACAAGAAATGTGACCGTAGAATAGCAATTCTTATTATATAAGCTCAATTTGACCAAATGAAAGATTCATATTTAACAGAAAAATAATTTAAGGTTAGATCAACACGGGAAACTACCAACGAAAGTAAATGGAAGAGCAGTATCTAAGGTCCGGTATACATAACGGTATACATTATCAGATTTGAAGTGTAATACAAGTATTATGATACTTTTTGTATATTAAAGCTCTTTCCTGCACATACTTTTATACATATATTAGATTAAAAACAAACTTTAGAAATTTCCACGTGATTTTTCCGCAATATTTTGCTTGAAAATAATAATAAACAGTTTGATGATTAATAATAAATAATATGTTCCCAGATGAAGAAATATTACTAAAATATCATATTGAGATGTTTCACAAATCTTCTTCTCTTCTTCGTTTGTAATGTGCCTGCCAGCAATGTTGGACATTATCGCACATCTTCTCGTAAAACCATTGATTTAGAGATCAAGACGGCTATTACTTTTTACCATGTGCTTATTTAGTAGTGATAAAAATAGTATAACCCAGCAGTGAGTACATTTGGTTGGTTGAAAGTGAAAGTTAACTTAAGACTCGTATTAAGAAATAGAGCGTTCTTCTATTCTTATTTACAGTTTTATAAGATTCGAAAAATCTTATGATACACTCTTTTAAGAGAGTATACACGGTAAGATTGTATACCATTATCATAATACAAATCTTACCGTGTATGTCGGCATTAAGTTTTTGGAAATTGTGTCCAATCCCTTTGACATATATTGCCAATAAAATATGTTAAAATTCATTTTTCAAATTCATTCAAATTCATTTTTTATAAATATCTTGCTAATAAAAGAAAGTTCTTTAACATGTTGCATAAAATGTTGGAAAATGATATGTTGATTCTAAAACTCTAAAACTAGTGAACTATAACTTACTTAGAGGTGTTCCATCGGGATTGAGCAATTCTCCAGCTGCAAGAAAAAAAAAGTTTACCCCAAAGCAGAATATATTTGTTATATTGTCAAAACTTGATAAACTCGTGGAAATTGTAAATGTCCTTTCCCATTAGTTGACGTACCTCTGCAGAAATTACAGGTGGCTCTACAGTTTCTCGACATGTAAGACACAAAGGTCATCTGGCAGTAACCCATACGTGCCCAAAAATCACACGACCGTCCAAAGTCCTGGCAAGTATTCTCGACTGAAATATTTTATAAATATGGCGATCATCACAAGAAATTTCTTTTAAGGACAGAATCTTCTTTCTAAAATAAGTTTAATTCCAACAACTATATTTGGTAAATTAATTGCAACTACCTATATCTTCACGCCCAAGTTCTACCGATTTAATTTGATTTTAGTTTTTATGTTCAATATCATTTTACTTAACCTTTTCTCCCACTATCACCCCCATCACAATAGATTTATTTATTTTTGTGTCAGATTTTTTATTTTTCCCGAGCGGTTTGTACGACTGATACTCACCATTACACAAGCCGCACGCATTTTTACAGTATAACGCCATGAACCCACTACCCCTTCTACTGGTACATTCTCCCGTACTGGCCCAGAAGCGACAGTAACGGTGTTGATCCCTACAGCCTACTATAGAACAGAAAACATCAAATAAATCAATAAAAAATAAAACACCAAACAAATCAGTAAAACAAAACACCAAATAAATCAATCAAAACAAGAGGCCCATGGACCACATCGCTCACCCGAGCATTGTGGCTAGGAAAAAGTAGAAATTGGTTTACTATTGATAAGTTTAAATCCAAAAGTTTGGCCCCGCCCTACCCCCGGGGGTAATGATTTGATCAAATTTGAATCTACACTACTTGGGGAAGCTTCCATATAAATATGAGCAATTATGGCTTTGCTATTCTTGAGAAGAAGATTTTTAATGAGTTTTCCTATATATTTCTACATAAAAATTTGGTCGGCCAACCTGGGGATGCTTCCATATAAATATGAGCAATTATGGCTTTGCTGTTCTTGAGAAGAAGATTTTTAAAGAATTTTCCTATATATTTCTACATAAAACTGGTCGGCCATGGTGGCCCCGCCCTACCCCTGGGGGTCATGATTTGAACAAACTTGCATCTACACAACCTAGGGAAGCTTCCATATAAATATGAGCAATTATGGCTTTGCTGTTCTTGAGAAAAATATATATTTTTAAAAAAAATTCCTATATATTTCTACATAAAACTTTGGTCGGCCATTGTGGCCCCGCCCTACCCCTGGGGGTCATGATTTGAACAAACTTGAATCTACACAACCTGGGGATGCTTCCATATAAATATGAGCAATTATGGCTTTGTTGTTCTTGAGAAGAAGATTTTTGAAAAATTTTCCTATATATTTTTATGTAAAACTTTGGTCGGCCATTGTGGCCCCGTCCTACCCCCGGGGGTCATGGTCTGAACAAATTTGAATCTACACTACCTGGGGATGCTTCCATATAAATATGAGCAATTATGGCTTTGCTGTTCTTGAGAAGAATATTTTTAAAGAATTTTCCTATATATTTCTACATAAATTTTGGTCGGCCATTGTGGCCCCGCCCTACCCCCGGGGGTCATGATTTGAACAAACTTGAATCTACACAACCTGGGGAAGCTTCCATATATATATGAGCAATTATGGCCTTGCTGTTCTTGAGAAGAAGATTTTTAAAGAGTTTTCCTATATATTTCTATGTAAAACTTTGGTCGGCAATTGTAGCCCCGTCCTACCCCCAGGGGTCATGATTTGAACAAACTTGAATCTAAACTACCTCAGGATGATTCCATATAAATATGAGCAATTATGGCCATGCTGTTCTTGAGAAGAAGATTTTTAAAAAGTTTTCCTATATATTTCTAACTAAAACTTTGGTAGGCCATTGTGGCCCCACCCTAACCCCGGGGGTCATGATTTGTACAAAGGTGAATCTACACTACCTGAGGATGTTTTCCCATAAGTTTCATTTTTCCTGGCACAGTGGTTCTTGAGAAGAAGATTTTTAAAACATACCACCAAATTTTCACTAATTCTCAATTATCTCCCCTTGAATGAGGGCGTGGCCCTTTATTTGAACAAACTTGAATCCCCTTTACCCAAGGATGCTTTGTGGCAAGTTTGGTTGAAATTGGCCCAGCGGTTCTTGAGAAGAAGTCGAAAATGTGAAAAGTTTACAGACAGACGGACGCCGGACAAAATGTGATCAGAAAAGCTCACTTGAGCCTTCGGCTCAGGTGAGCTAAAAGACACCAAAGAAATCAATAAAAAACACCAAACAAATCAGTAAAACAAAACCCCAAATAAATCACTTAAAAAAACACCAAACAAATCAGTAAAACAAAACACCAAATAAATCAATAAAAAAAACACCAAACAAATCAGTAAAACAAAACACCAAATAAATCAATAAAAAAAACCCACCAAACAAATCAGTAAAACAAAACACCAAATAAATCAATACAAAAAAACCACCAAACAAATCAGTAAAACAAAACACCAAATAAATCACTTAAAAAAACACCAAACAAATCAGTAAAACAAAACACCAAATGAATCAACAAAAACCAGAAGTCTCTGTCGAGACTGTAGCTCTACTGGTTTCTACTTAAAACAAAGGATGAGAAAAGCCATTGCCATCAGACCAAAACTGTAGAAGGAGTAGGAATTTCACAGATATTTCTATTTTTAGTAACCATAGCAACACAATTCATCGAAATCAAATCCGATGCATTATTTTATGTATCTTAGTGTAGTCTACTTGTGTGCCAAGTTATATTGAAATCAGATCAAAACTGTAGAAGGAGTAGCATTTTAAAGAAATTTCATGGAAAATTCTATTTTTAGTAACCATGGCAACACCGATCATCGATATCAAAAACTGATGCATTATTTTATGTATCTGAGTGTAGTCTACTTGTGTTCCAAGTTATATTGAGATCAGATCAAAACTGTAGGATTAAAATTTTAAAGGAACTTCACAGAAAATTCTATCTTTAGTAACCATGGCAACACCTTTCATCGAAATCAAAAAACAGATGCTTTATTTCATGTATCTTAGTGTAGTCTACTTGTGTGTCATGTAATATTGAAATCAGCCAAAACTGTAGAAAAAGTAGCGTTTTAAAGGAATTTCACAGAAAATTCTATTTATAGTAACCATGGCAACATCATTCATCGAAATCAAAAACTGATGCACTACTTTATGTATCTTAGTGTAGTCTACTTGTGTGCCAAATTATATTGAAATCAGTTCAAAACTGTAGGAGGAGTAGCATTTTAAAGGCATTTCACAGAAAATTCTATTTTTAGTTACCATGGCAACATCGTTCATCGAAATCAAAAACCGATGCACTATTTTATGTATCTTAGTGTAGTCTACTTGTGTGCCAAGTTATATTAAAATCAGACCAAAACTGTAGGAGGCGTAGCGTTATAAAAAACTGTTTACAGACAGACGGACAGACAGATGGACGGACGACGGACACCCTACTATCGCATAAGCTCTTCTGGTCTCTGATCAGTAGAGGTAAAAAACACCAAACAAATCAGTAAAACAAAACACCAAATAAATCAATAAAAAAAATACACACCATACAAATCAATTAGAGAGCAAACAGCTTTTAGGAAGATAAAAAAGTCTGTCAATACCGTTAAACTTTCATGGTAACCAAGTCTATCGGTCATATCAAAACTGCCAATTTCTTTGAAGCAACATTAACAGATATAATCTGGGTGTGGGGATACCTCTGGGGGTGGTGGTCGGACTGATCGTCCTGATCGTGGGGACGGAGGTGGTGGTGACCAGGGCGGTGCCCTCACAGTTCTGGACCGGGCTGCTGGGGTTGTTGGTGGGACATTTACAGGAACAATCCTTGCCGACAAAACCTTCTCCCGGACAACTCTTGGCAGGGCAGTTCTCTGAGGACAGAAACTCAGTTTTTATAAATCAGGAATTAGGAGACAGATTCAAGGCTAACATTCTGGTTAAGCTAGGGTCATACCTGCACAGTTATACATTAAATTGGCAAGCTTGATGTCTCTGAAGCTGAGTCCGGGTGCTCTACCGATGATATCTTGGAAACTGGAGTCTAGTGTCCGTACTGTTATTCCACCGTTAGTTGAAAAAGCCTGAAATTTGCGGAAAGAAATTTTGAGAAACATATTTTACTAATTCTTTATGTAAATGAAAAACTGGAGCTTATTTCATTTTTGTAAAGAGTAAAGATTTTTTAGCATCAATAGAAGTTTATAGTTTTTGTAATAAAAAAAAAATACCCTGGCTCCGTAGTGCATCACGCTTCTGTAATCATAAGGTACTCCAAAATTATTAACTTGGTTCGTGGGAAGACTTTCGAAGTTGAAGAGTACCGCCTGAGGAATATTTGCCTCGATGATCCGGACAAACCCGTCCCGGTCCGATCTGGATTGTTCGTGTTGGAATCCAACAGCGTGTCCAATTTCGTGGATCACAATCCTCCTCTGAAACATGGAGGATATCTATGGCACGCCCAAATCCACAAAAATGAGCAAAACATAGTTTCACCGTCGATAAACTAGGTTTATCGGTTGTAAACTATAGTTTACGGACTGTAAACTATAGTTAACAACGTTAATCTATATTTTACATCTGTAAACCATAGTTAACGCGAAAATCTATGTTTCACAACCGTAAACTATACTTAAGGTGGATTACCCCTCTGATAAGAGAGATAACTCTTCTGATAAGATAGATAACTTTCTTCAGACATTTTGTCATGAAATTCAGTGAATTTTCATGTCAGAGTTTACAAGTTTCATTCGTGGGAACCATTTTAAGGTCAACTCAATCGAACTTATTCTATGGTACAAATGTTGATTTATAGTTTCTATTGCTAATATGTACATTAATGATTTATAATAATTTATTTACAACATTTATACTCAGTTCCTTTAAACAGTGTAAATTGAAAAATCTCCATCTCTTAAAGTATATTTCTTTTAATTGTACAGAAATTTCAGATGCAGTATTGTTTATAAACATTTAATTAATATTTTGTTTCATTAAAAAATATTTTCAAGTTCGATAATGGAACGATAACTCTTGTTTATGGATGCGTGTTATTTTACATGCACAGAAAACAATTTGTAATTGTGATTTAAAAAGCAGCGCTTCAGTATGTTTTCTAATGGGAATTAGATAGGCATGAGAGTAAATATTATTTTATATAAACCTCATATTTCTAATTTAATTGTGAGATAAAAAATAATAAATCTTTCTATTTACCATATCAAATTTTCTTCACATCATGATTTGACATATTATTCATTTCTGAAAAAGTAAGCAACGCTTCATACTTCAAACTATTTTCCATTTGAATTTAATGCTATAGTTGTTGCTGAAAATCAATGTCTGGATTTAAAAAAAAAAAAGTCGTGAAATTTGGAGCAGAGGGATATTGCCCCTTAACATCGAAAACAATCATTTGCGATTGCAAAACATAGATTATCTGAAAAATACAGTTTCATGACTTGTAAACTATAGTTTACAAACCGTTAAATATAGTTAACGATCTGATAAATATAGTTTCACGATCTGTAAAACTATGATTAACAACTCATAACTATAGTTTACGATTGTAAACTATTGTTTACAAACGTGAATCTATGCTTATCAACAAAATCTATTGTAAACGCTTTATTCAGACAGATAAACTTTGATTTAGCATTCGTAAACTATAGTTAACGACCGTTAGATATAGTTTTACAGATGAAAACTATACTTAACGATTCGTAAACTATAGTTTACGGTTTGTGAACTATAGTTTACAGTCGATAAACCTAGTTTATCAATTGTGAAATAGTGTTATTTTCATTTTTTTTTCTTTGATATAAATAAAGTAAATTCTGTATTGCAGAAGTTTTGGTTTAAGAAAAAAATATTGGAAAGAGGAATATGTTGATATGCAGTGCGAAATAGGCTTACTATACGACATCCCCTGGCCAAGCTGATCGGCTGAACATTCCCAGCCATCCCCACAAAAGACGAACACCTTTAGAAGACAAATCCAGACGTTTATCAATAATGTAAACATGTTTTCTCTCTTAAAATTATTAAGTAATTTTAAAACAGCTAATTTAATGAGCTAGATCAAGAAAAAAAGAAATACATGCAGACTCACCCATCGCCATTCTGGAATCTGACGGCTCGGGATTCCTCTCTTCTCGGTCGGAAAACGACACACGTCTCTCGGTTCCAGTCCCCGATAGCGAGGTTAATCTGATCCAGTTCCGCCTGAGCTGAAAGTAGAAGTCAAAACTGCTTCATCGATTTGTCTTTCTATTTAACATGATAAAAAAAACCCAAATATTTTGTAACATGATTCTATAAAAAATGTTCAATGAATAGTTTATTAATCTTCAATTAAAAAAATTTCAATCATCGTGCAGTTCCATGTTATCATAAGTTTTTATTATTTAAGTAAAACTCACAAAATGTGTTTGGTGCAATTTCATAAGGAACTATTTTATTTGTCCATCTTCTCCGTTCGTCTCGCGCCGCCTTCCTCTTCTTTCTACTTCCCATTTTATCTTGTGCCATTCTACAAAATTGTAAAACAGTGTATGTAAAATCTTTATTGTTAGAAAAAGAAAATAAGTCTTAAGGTATTGGATTCTATTCTGGTTTCTGACTAAAGGAAATATATAAAGTAAATTAAGTCTTAAGTAAGACAATATTGTGACAGTGCTTGATGATATGTCAAGGCGGTTTGTAGTGATTTGTTTTGGCGGTGAATAGTGTTTTGATAAGATACATGTAGAGTGTGATGATATATTGTGACAGTGTGTCATATGTTATCTCAAGGCGATACGTAATGATATGTTGTGGCAGTGCGTGAAGATACGTCAAGGCGATGCGTGGTGATAAAAGTTTTGGCAATGTCTTTTGTTTTGAGGAGGTAGTGCGTGGTGTCTTGTTGTGGCAGTACATGGTGATATTTTAAGGTGCATAGTGATATGTTAAGGTAATACATGGTGATATGTTAAGATAGTACATGGTGATATATTAAGGTGCATGGTGATATGTTAAGGTGGATGGTGATATGTTAAGGTGCATGGTGACATGTTAAGGTAGTACATGGTGATATGTTAAGGTAGTACATGGTGATAGCGAGCGCAGCGAGGCGGTGCGAAGCGCCGCTCGCGTAGCGAGCTCAATAGACTAACGTGTACGAACGGAGGAAATTCGGGTTGAAATCTGCACATTGTTCCAAGAAATTATTATCTCACCGCGTGAAAAAATTCCAAACTCCCAGTAATCCTTTGTGGTACATAGCAACAAGGTGGCTAAAACATAGCAACAACTTACTTGAAAAAAATACAAACAACGATTTATTGCAATTTCCATGCCATAAAACCCCATTTGCGTCCTAAGTCTACAGGACTTTATCTGACGTCATACTTTCGTCACTTTAACGGTTCGGGTATTTCCGATTTTGTCGGAAACTTCCGAGAAGTTCGGAATCTCGATCCCGATGTTTGGGAAGTAATCTCTTTTTATTATTTTGTTTTCTTTCTTTTTCTTGAATGATAGGCAGTTCATGTGTAGGTTTATGATAGTACATTACTGCGCTCGCCCCAACGGTCATACCGTAAAACATATTATGTAAAACATATTATGTTAAGGTAGTACATGGTGAAATGTTTAGGCAGTACATGGTTCTATGTTAAGATGCATGGTGATATGTTAAGGCAGTACATGGTTCTATGTTAAGGTAGTACATGGTGATATGTTAAGGTAGTACATGGTGATATATTAAGGTGCATGGTGATATGTTAAGGCAGTGGATGGTGATATGTTAAGGTACATGGTGACATCTTAAGGTAGTATATAGTGATATGTTAAGGTAGTACATGGTAATATGTTAAGGTAGTGCATGGTGATATGCTAAGACAGTACATGGTGATATGGTAATGTGCTTGGTAACATGTTAATGTAGTACATGGTGATATGTTAAGGTAGTACATGGCGATATGTTAAGGCAGTACATGGTGATATGTTAAGGTGCATAATGATATGTTAAGGTAGTGCGTGGTGATATGTTAAGGCAGTATATGGTGATATGTTAAGGTAGTACATGGCGATATGTTAAGGCAGTACATGGTGATATGTTAAGGTGCATGGTGATATGTAAAGGCAGTACATGGTGATATGGTAAGGTAGTACATGGTGATATGTTAAGGCAGTACATAGTGATATGTTAAGGCAGTACATGCTATGTTAAGGCAGTACATGCTGATATGTTAAGGCAGTACATGGTGATATGTTAAGGCAGTACATGGTGATATGTTGAGGCAGTACATGGTGATTTGTTAAGGAAGTGGATGGTGATATGTTAAGGTAGAACATGTTGATATGTTAAGGCAGTGCATGGTGATATGTTAAGGCATTTACATGGTGATATGTTAAGGTGCATGTTTATATGTTAAGGCAGTACATGGTGATATGTTAAGGCAGTATATGGTGATATGTTAAGGCAGTACATGGTGATATGTTAAGGTAGTACATGGTGATATGTTAAGGTAGTACATGGTCATATGTTAAGGCAGTGCATGGTGATATGGTAAGGCAGTACATGGTGATATGTTAAGGTGCATGGTGGTATGTTAAGGTAGTACATGGTGATATGTTAAGGCAGTACATGGTGATATGTTTAGGTGCATAGTGGTATGTTAAGGCAGTACATGGTGATATGTTAAGGCAGTGCATGGCGATCTGTTAAGGCAGTACATGGTGATATGTTAAGGTAGTACATGGTGATAAGTTAAGATAGTACATTGTGATATGTTAAGGCAGTACATGGTGATATTTTAAGGTGCATTGCGGTATGTTAAGGCAGTATATGGTGATATGTTAAGGCAGTATATGGTGATATGTTAAGGCAGTATATGGTGATATGTTAAGGTAGTACATGGTGATATTTTAAGGTAGTACATGGTGTTATGTTAAGGCAGTACATGGTGATATGTTAAGGTGCATGGTGATATGTTAAGGTAGTGCGTGGTGATATTTTAGTTTTTGATGATACCTTTCTTTATTTTGCTGGATATAATCGTCTAATGTCATCAATATATCGTATTCTACTCTGACGATTGGGTTCTCGTTGGAGAAGAGGTTCTCAGCTGATCCACTGGACATTAGATCAAAACTCAAACCTATGCACAGAAGCAAATCACAAAATTTTATCTGAAATCGCTCTGCTGTAGCCTTCAACCCGACTTTCAGATATATCGACGACGTATTGTCAATTAACAATGGTAATTTCCTTTCGATACGATATATATTAATGAGCTTGAGATAAAAGATACCTGGAGTCTAACACATCTGTTACATACTTGGATATTTTTCTTAAAAAAAAAAAGACGTTAATGGTTATCTCACAACCAAGCTATATGATGACTTTAACTTTTCTATCATTAACTTCCCTTACTTAAGCACTAATATACTTTCATCACCTGCATACGAAGTATCATCGTCGGAAACCCACGGGTGATCTCGTCTTTACTTATCATTCGGGTGATAAGCAATGACGAGATCACCCGTGGGTTTCCGACGATGACGAAGTATATATATCTCAGTTGATTCGATACGTAACAGCATGCTGTACGTATGAACAATTTCTTAAACGGGGTAAATGACAAGTAAGTTGATGAAACAAGAATATCAGCAGACTCATTTAAAGTCATCATTTAGTAAGATCTATGGTTGATACAATGTCAGTAAATACAAATGTACACAATGACCTTGTCAGCAAATACAATTTATACACTGAGTCAAATGCTGACTGAGGGTTTTCATACAAATTGTTCGTCCATTAATTATACACCCAAGTGACAACGGATTTTCCCGTTATTACCTGATCATGACAAGGAGCACACGGCGGGTGTGACCGATCAGCAGGGGATGCTCAATCCTCCGTGGCACCTGATCCCACTTCTGATGTTTCGGAGGTCCCTGTTTGCTCTGCTCCTAGTTTGTATTGTTATATTGACTTTGATATTGAATACTGTTCGTTATCTCCATATCCTTCTTATAAGTGTTCAGAAAGAAATCACCTAACATATTAACATTCACAGTGCACACCCATGAAGGAAAATACTTTTAAACGGTCAAGCTGATTGTTGTTGTTTTGTCCATGTCTCAAATTGACTCATTCTTGTCGAGTGTGTGACTACAGTATGAAATGGTTTGTTCCGATGCAAAATGTTGACCAGAGAGACAGTCTTCTAAATTGGAAAGTCAGCTTAATCATTCAGATAAGAAAGGAAATGGTTGCTTGTCAAAGGTGAAATTATGACAAGTTGTATTACAGATTTTGTCTCATTTGCCTTAGAGCTTTGTTTCACTTGAAAAAAATGAATTGAAATAAAATAATTAAAACTAAATTTATTAAGGCAAATAGGAGGTGAGCATATTCAGACCACACATGATTTTAACACCCCCTCCTTAATTACTAGCTCAATATACATTATACATATATCACATGGCTTCGAGGGTAACATACCAGAATATTTGCCCCGAGGTGACAAGAAAGCCCTGGAGTGTTATGTCACCCGATGCCGAAGCAGAAGGTGACATAACACTCCAGGGCTTTCCTGTCACCTCGGGGCAAATATTCTGGTATAGTCGCCCGAGAAGCCATGTGGTATATGTTATATGACATTTTTAAAATCAAAAGAAAATTTAAAATCATTCAAAATCGTTAAAATGTACACAAATCATCCAAAAATGCCTTGTTGACGTTTTAGGAATACGCTGTGTTGTTTACTTTTGCGTAGCAACCGACGTCATAAAATCTCGAACCCAAACTAAAATGCGTAACCTAAAAACACTTGAAGGTGATCGAAAGGATGACATAACTGTTTATATATATATATATATATATATATATATATCATATTATATATATATATATATATATATATATATATATATATATATATAAATATATATTACAAGAAAAATAAGTTATTGGTATTCTAACAAACAAAAGTTACAAAACAAAATAATGAACGTGATGATTTCAATTTTTCTCTCTGTACTTTGTCTTACATGTATATCAATATCCGTATCCCCTGCATATGGGTTTATATGTCCCACAGTTGATTTGATACGCAAGCGAATGCTTTTCACACGAACAATTTCTACAACATATTGACAAAAAGGTTGATGAAACAGGGGTAACAACACTCTCGTTATAAGTTTTCATATCACATGTTTTATGATCAATACAATAACCTTGTCATCAAGAACTATACATGTATAGCTGACTGATGTTTTTTCATACCAACTGTTAGAAGATTATTTACACACTTCAATGTCAACGGATTTTCACTGCCTGATTATAACAAGGGCGGCTGTAACCGATCGACAGGGGGATTCTTAATCCTCCATGATACCCGATCCCAGGCAGCTCTTTTTATAGGTCCTTGTTTACTCTGCTACCGGTTTTTATTATTTGAATAGGGTTTTGAGCTTATATTTTTCGTCATCCCTATATTTCAAGAAATACGAATCCGTGAAAAGGACAAAAGAGGAGAATCGGGTGCCAAGGAGAAATAATCTCCCCCTGGTGACGGACCACGCCTGTCATTAGACCTGTAATTACGGCAGATTAAACATACCATACTATAGTCAAAACACCCGTCCTAAGACTTTTATATAGATAAGGCAGATGAAACTTCCGTAGTCAAATTCCATGTGAAATCAAGGGCCAATTACTTGCTTGAGACACATTAGTCAAACACGACCTGACCATAGGTTATTTAAGTTATTAAGGTCATTATATTGACCGCAGAATGAAGGAGTGTTGACTTTCAACAAGACTGTTGATATCCTGTAGCACCAAGTACTCAGTATCTAATGGATTTTTCTCACAGCAAGCTCGTGCCGAATATTACTACATTAATAAGAAAATGTACGTTGGAAAATATGAAGTCATCTGATCGTTCATACAGTTTAGTTGTTAGTTGTATGGTTCTTATCATATATGGCCATAAAACATTCAGATATGAAACTGATCTGGCATACTGTCAAAATTTGTCTATAACTATAATAACTATACAATTAATTGTAAAAACATCGTCGATATATCTGCGTGAAGGTCGAGTTACAGACCACAAGTATCAGACTACATGTTTTCTTCTTCTCGTGTAGAAGTTTTTGAATAAATTCTACGTCAAAGGAATGGACCCCCCCACTTTTTTTTCCCGACCTTACTTATACTATAGGAAATGTAAATTGATAGCCCCCCACCTCTAGACTTTAAGTGATGTACCGAAAATGTAGCATTCGAATTGGTAATAAAAGTGCTTGACACTGAGAAAAAGTTAATCTAACACACCCCCCCCCCCACGAAATAAGATTTTCGACTTTGGGCAACATTTAACTCCCCCCCCCCCTTTTTATTTTTGCTTGTCAACTTTTTCCGGTAAGTAAAAAAAAAATTCTCTGGCTGCCCCCCCACTTTCAAAAACGATGCTACGCCATTGTATAATTGAGAATAACACACCCCTCCCATTCCCTTTTTTTTTCTTTCAAAATTCAGCGATAACTGGATGACTTTGCATTCATAAACGGTTTACTTTTTAATATACGAAAAATTTATACTCCTCAGTTGCTCAAGAAATTAAAAAAAGAGATTTTAATCGAGAAACTATTCTAGGGTATTTATAACTAAATATAGCAATTCATTTTCCAAAAGATTACCAATATACTGACTGACGTTATACGGTAGGAAAAATAAAACTTTTCACACGACATCAAAAGTTCCTTGGAATTTTGTACTTCAGTGTTTAGACATCTAGACCCAATAAAAAGCAATCCAAATGAAATATCGTATTGACTTAGGCACCCCATATAAAATATTGTATTGACTTAGGTACCCCATATAAAATATTGTATTGACTTAGGTACCCCATATAAAATATTGTACTGACTTAGTGACTTAGGCACACCATATAAAATATCGTACTGACTTAGGTACACCATATACAATATCGTACTGACTTAGGCACCCCATATAAAATATCATATTGACTTACTGTCATTGCAGGAATCCATCATTAGTTCGTCAATCGACTTTTCCTCCATGGCATCAGCCTAAATATTAATTTTATTTCAAAATTTAAACATTAAAATTCGATTGTAAAAAATGCGAATACAATTATATTTAATTGTTCTTTTGCCTCTTTCCTTTTTTGAATTAAATTTTTGCACATTTTAAGAACAAGAAAAATAAAAATAAAGGAATTTCTAATTTTACAGATCTGTGCTTATATCCAATATAAATTTTAAACATTTTTCCGCTACCATAAGGAATAAACAAGTTGCTATAAAGATTCCCAGAAACTTCATTGTAGTTGATCTGAGGACTTTAAGGTTAAATTGTAGTTCTGCATCCGCCCTTCCATTTATAAATACTAGTAGGTTTGAGGCGTGACAATCGGAACATCACTCGGCCTTTTCCGTCAAGTCGAGAAAAAAAAACCACTGGACGGAAAAGGCCGAGTGATGTTGCGATTGGAGGCGTGAGTCACTTCGTATGAGCTCTCGTGCAAATTTTGACTCGCGTGCACTATTCTTACTTTTGTATGTACATGTATGACAAAACGCCAAGCCAGAAATTGTATATTCTGAATTAATACGACTTAAAATAATTGTTTTTTTTAAGGAAAAGCACTAACAAATGTGACAGATATATCATATAGGAAAATTGAATAATAAAAACTTGTTTTATAATTATACTATAGAATTAAGCTGTGAATCTTGGCCATGAAAATCTTACGGTGGAGTCATTTCACTAAAAAAATAAACTAAGAGACTTAGCATTTCCAGAGGTGGGCGGCTTTACAGCTCTCCGGATTCTAGTGAAGAATTGAACACTGTTCGATAATCTTTTTTTCTGTTAGAAATGTGCATGGATAATTCTTGTCTTGTAAGTGTACAAATTTACAATAAAAGTCATGATTATTTTGTACAGGACAATACATATGGAACGCCATAGCTGCCTTATATGGCTATTTCATGAGAAGATGGCACTTTATTATATTATGTTGTGGTTACTTTTTTGACGATGTTGCTCTATTATATTATACTGTGGGTATTCAATATGAAGGTGGTGCTCTATCCTATTATGCTGTTGTTATTTTATATGAAGGTGGTGCTCTATTATATTATGCTGTGGTTATATTATTTGAAGCTGGTGCTCTATTATGTCTTATTATATTGATTGATTGATTGATTGTACATATATTGTTTAACGTCCCTCTCGAGAATTTTTCACTCATATGGAGACGTCACCGTATGCCGGTGAAGGGCTTCAAATTTCGACCTTTACTCGGCACTCAGGGCCATTGAGCAGTGAGGGATCTTTATCGTTCCAACGCCTGCCACTGACACGGGGCCTCGGTTTTTAAGGTCTCATCCGAAGGACCCGCAACTTTCACTTCAAAGTGCCGAGCGCATAGCGAAGGAACAGTTGCTATCCATTTTATCGACTAGGTCAGTCGCGGCCGAGATAAGAACTCACGACCTCCCGATCACGGAGTGAGCGCTGTACCGACTGAGCTACCGTGAACGGTCATATTTTTGAAGATTAAGTTTAATAATGAGTTTAACAGCTATTGTATCTCGAAATGTTGAAAGTGAAACAAATACTAGTACTAATAATCGATGTAATTAAGATCATTTGAATACACTATTGCTAGTTCCTCTTTTTTTCCTTTGGCACTTGGTATCAGGTTGTATTTTGTGTATTAATGTTTTTTTTCTAAACGTAAAAATAAAAACGATCACTAAGATAAGTACGTCTCAATGATGTTTTACTGAATATTGTACATGTAAGAGTGTAGGTCCGACAGTTGCTATTCCAGGAAAATCTAGAGGGATTTGTTGTCTCTGTCATTCCGGGACGCCTCTACATTATACATGGTTATAAATCGTCACTGCCATTGCTCTCATTTTCAGTACTAATTATAAAGACGCTTTTGTTTACTGCATATATACGACAAGTTCAAATTGGTAGACGATTGAGGGGCGTTACTTCATTTTTAAATGTAGATTTCACCCGAAACTCTGCCCAAAACTGGTAGGAAAAATGTAGATATTGATTAAAATCAAGATTGAACCGAGCCGGGCACCCAGTAATATCAAAGATTGCAACTGTCGTACCTTCATTATACCCCCCGCTTGAAAAGCGGGAGGGTATATAGTAATCGTTAATTCCGTCCGTCCGTCTGTACGTCCGTCTGTCCGTTTGTTACGCTTTGGGTACCCATGTCTTATCCGCAACTCCTCTCATACCACTGAATGAAATTTGTTTCTTTTTTATATAGACAGTATAATATCTTCATATAAAATAATCACAACATAATATAATAGAGCACCACCTTCATATAATATAAACACAGCCTAATGTAATAGAGCACCATCTTCATATAAAATAACCACAGCATAATATAAAAGAACACATCTTCATTTAAAGTATTCACAGCATAATATAATAGAGCATAAAATAACCACAGCATAATACAATAGAACACCATCTTCTCGTGAAATGGCCACTAATGCAGCTATGGCGTTCCATAAATACTTGTACATCTTAAACCTTTTATAAGATAATGTTACACAGATACATATTTGGACATTCAAGGCCGGGGTCTACTAATGCGGTAGCCCCGTGGCCGGATCTCATCAGATGAGTAGAATGGCCGACTTCCTCTACTCTTCTCCTAGAATTAACCAATATCCTGTTATCCTGTACGGAATTCCGTGACTTCTACCTAACCTGTCAATATTTGATTCGCTGCAGATCCAAATATGAACAAATTACATTTGCTTTCTCAATGACCAAAGTCTACAGTCTTAAAATTGAGTTTTCAAGTTTCTGCCCGAAAAGCACATCACATTAGAGTTTTTCCAAGGTACATATTTATACCCCTCATGAAAAGCGGGAGGGTATATAGTAATCGGTATGTCTGTCCCTCCGTCCGTCTGACTGTTACGTTTTGGGTTACCCATCTCCTATCCGCAACTGCTCTTGTACCACTGAGTGAAATTTAATGAAACTTCCACAGAATCTTTATTACATATTGCAATTGTGCACCTCCTATTTTACATTTTGATATGACACATATTTTGGATTTCCCACAGCAAAATATGGACACTGCTATTATATTCATATGGGAGGCGGGGGTCATCATTTAGTGAGCTCATTGCTCACAATGCCTCTAGTTTTATTATAAGACAAACTTTTAGCCTACTTTTGACTATTTTGTTATAAGGTTGAGTACTCATTATTATCATGAGAACTGTCTGCTGCATGTCTTAAATTGTAAGGAGATTATATACGATCATGGCAATTTTCACTTGTAATGTGTTGTTAAGGTAGGTTTCTTCTCACATTTCTTGTATTTAAAAATAGATGAAATTTTCACAGAAAAATAGGACAATATCACTAAGTGATGGTATCAGTGAGGTTAAATTTGACCGTTTAATATTAGAGACAAGATCAGATCAAGGTCATTACCTTTTTCGTGGACATTAAGAATAAAAAGATACTGTTTCCAATCATGCGATCCCTAGTTGTAATTCAATTGATTAAATGTTTTTCTTTTTGCATAAAAAAGATACGACCATATAGGCCTATATGTTGATATTACCAAATTAACATGGATAATTTAAAGCAATATGAGCTGCATTTTTGAGAATTTTATTTTGCTGGTGAAATAGTAGTATAGACTGAGGCTTTTCGTGCTACTTTGAGGCGCCAACGAATAGAGGCGCTGGCGATAGATCACGGAAGTGTAGTATACCAAGAGAACAAGTTCAGGAAGTCAAAATCGGATATGAATAGATCAATAACACATCTGTTTTAATCCTTTTAACAACTGAATCCGTTGATCAATACATAAATATTAACATATGAAACTAATTTGACAACTAATAATTTTGATAAAGGTCATGTCGACGAATAATTTAAATCACAATCTACGGGGTTATAAGAACAAATTTAATGAAATGTATCCATATGTATTTCCCGAGAATATGTATGAAGTGTAATAAAGTCGAGAGAAAATAAATATTGTTGTAGCAACAGATGTGAATTAAAATACGAGGAATCAAATTTAAGATATCTCTTGGTTAATGAATAGGAAAAAAATAATCCCGACCAAAATTGTTTTCTGGATTAATAATACACCATCGTTTATAGAAAATTATACAAACATGAAAAAGACTGTAAGATTTAAAGGTGATGATACAATAATTGACATTCCTTACGAGGATCGTAAGGCAGAATGGATGTTAATAGCTGTGGACAGATGTCGTTTTCGGAGACGGATTAATTGTTTATCACAGATTCTCGAACCAATACTTGAAAAACATTTAGTTTCATATGAATATGTAATGTTTAACGATGAAACAATAATAAAACTCTGTAAAAATTCCGGTGTTTTTTAGAATGGACCCACGTTTTCTATTAAAGATACATTTAAAATGTATTGGATTAAAATTATTGGAAAGATGTGTATCAATGTAATAAACATAAATCGGAAATGTTTCACTTTTCATGACTATGTATAGTTGTATCTTATTATTTCACATCCTTGTTAGAATAAAATCAAACGTAATTATTATAGTAAACAAATTTCCGTTTGATGTGGTGTTATTTTATAAGATGAAATCATTTAAATGTTATAAACCAATCAGATAACTATTCGGAAATGACAATATTTCCGATTTAAACTCTGTTTAGGTATAGGTACATTCATTTAGTTAAAAGAAACTGACCACGACAACATGTCTACTACCCAGTGCAGTCTAGAATTAGGAAACGAGCGATACATTCAAGCATGTACATTGGACAATGGTGAACGTAGAGTCGACATACGGGAATGGAAATCAACGGAAAAACGACAGCTTCCAACTAAGAAAGGCATCAGTTTAAACTTGCAGCTTTTTAAAACCCTGACGCTCTCCACTGATTTGATCGACACAGCCTTAGCCAAGAAAGAAGATTCATAACGGTCAAAGGGGACAGTCCTTGTGTTAACATAAGAAAATATTGGAAACCGGAGAATGAAGAAAACCTCGTACCCACCAAGAAGGGGATTTGTCTCCGTCCTCTCGAATCGAATACTTAAATCTTAAAACACATCTGAGTAGCATTGAAAAAGCCGTTCCCGAACTGGAAAACATTGTACCCTGTTTTCTACAGGACAGCCATCAAAACCAACTAGGGATGCTTCGATCTGCAATGTGTAATCCCTTAGAATATCAGAACTGGTGAAACGATTACAAACGAAATGTGTGGAGACATTTTCAATGTTTAAAAAAACTTTATAAATTGTTTATATCAATCACACCTTTTATAACTCTCTTATTTTAACTTTGTTTA